ACATTACTTACAGGCGATAGCCGAAATACACAAAATGCGAAATTCTGCCTTTTTCTGCTGATTTCTTTGACGAATATAGCCAAACATCGTAGACAAGAAGATCGTATAGAGTCTAAATAGAGTCTAAATTTGGAGATACAGAGGAGCCTCTTGCTTAAATAAATATTGGGCAAATGTCCCTGGTCTAAATGCTAGGGTAATATCTGGGCAGTGCTCCGTCTCATAATTTCAAAAGCGAAATCCTCCAAAATGGATTTGGACATAAGGGGGCTTCTAACATATTGTAGTGTTGTAGGGTATCACATGGTCGGCCCCGCACGACTATAGCCTTTGCTTACTTGTTTATATATGCAGACCAATATAAGTCTAGCTTATAGTCATCATCGTCCAAAAGATATCCTTCAAACATAGGTTTATTGATACATCATAGTTGAGTAGAGAATCAAAAAATATGAAAAAAAGAGTAACCTCTTTTAGTAATGCTCTCAACGCTTCAAAAGTCTTAGAGATAAATTTAGTAACAAGCTCCATAACGAATGTGAATGACTCTAAAGACACCATTATTCGTATTTTTACCCCAGATTATTGCACTGTGTGTGCGTCTCATTTCCTTAGCGGCAGAATAGAACAAAACAACAAAAAGAACACAAAACAAACCCCTGCAACAAAAAGAAAACAAGGATGTATATATTACGGCAAAACGGTATGTATTACCATAAATGACAGTCACTCCTCCTTAGCCTGTTGACTGTTTCATAATTTGCGTTTACCCCAGCTTAACTATGTATGTGTATAAAATTTTCTTTGCTATTTCTGGATTCAGTCTTGTTACAAAGTCTCTTTGTAAAGCCACTGACGGAGTGATTGTAAGACATCGTATTCCCGAGGATGAGTTTAATGAGGCATATTGTCGTTTTTTTATTTTTTTATATTTTTATGTTTGCTAGTATTTGTAAGTCACTAACAAGGGCATCGGTCTACGACATCGTCCCATTGTCATAAAGTATCCTTTTTATGTCATTCGTCTATAAGGGTACTTAAAAGTGCTAGTGCCATTACCGGTAGTGCATATAATATGTTTGCAATGACTAAAGTCCTAACTCTGTGATTGTGGCTAAAGATAAGTGGGAAAGTAGCTTAGTGCGGTTTGAATTTGAAATCAGTTGGATCATATAGGTATATGGGAGCTATATCTTAAACTGAATCGATTCTGGATTTTAAAAACGCATTTTTGGGTTCCACGTGATCATTAATAGTAAATATCATTGCTGTAATGCGCATGTTATGACTGTGGGAAATCTGAAATATAAAACGGGATAAAACATATATATTTGAGAGTAGTCCAAAATTAGAAAAATTTTTTAACAATTGCAGTTGGGTTCATCATACACTTGGCCGCTGTTACAAACATTATTTGTTTTTTTTTTTTTATCAACTTGTATGTGCGTCGGCTAACTCTTCGTACTTTCTAAATTTTTATATCCTCAGCCATATGGCTACAGTGGGTATATATCATTTGATATGACCATAACGGTTTTATATTCTATGTCTCCTTGGACCAAATCCGTTGTTATTGTCAAATTTAGATCGAGTTCGGAGATGGGCAATACTCCTTCTGGTACTGACATTTTCATAGAAAATAATTTAAATCGTAGAAAGAGAAAGAAATTTTGGCTAACCTTAGAATACCAAATATTTTTGTCAGTGCTAGTTCAGGTACGAAAATTGACAATATCGTCCCAATCCATCATTTACCTCCCCTACAGCGGGTCAAGATTTTGAAAAGTTACGTCTCTTAAAAAATGAGAAATCACAGTCTGATTGTCTTCAATATTCACACATCCCAATGTTTTTATTAACACAAGATTTAGTGCGATGATGGGATATATCGGTCGAATTGAGCCTCTGATTTCTTTCAAACTCGACACACCTCAATATTTCCATCAACGCAAGATCTGGTGTAAAGATGGAATATATCTGTTGACTCCCTCAATATTTTCTCTCATACTCCTAAAAGACATAGACGACATCTGCTGATTCGAATTTTTTCGATAATAAACAGAGAGAGAATTTCTTCGTCTCTATTTTCATTAGTCTATGAATATACAGGGAGAGATAAAATAAAAAAACTTCAACAATATCAAACGCCATTGTTTTACATTTTTTATATTTTATTGAACGAAAGCAAAAAATGTCAGAAATAGCTTAAATATTTAGAATAACTATAGATTTGTTCGAATTTGTCACATTAGGCGCGAATTATGGCCTTCAAACGGCCAATGAAACCATCACACGATGCCCGAATGTTGCTCTGCGGTATTTTGGCCCATTCCCGGCAAAGCGCTTGCTTGAGGTGATCGACACTTTGGTATTTTTAGTGCCAACCTTGCTTTTCAAAATACTCCAGATACAATAGACAAACGGATTGCTATCCGGAGATTTTGTTGGCCATTGTGCGCTGGAAATGAAGCGAGAAACCTCATTTTGTAACCATTCATTGGTGGTGCGTGTTGAGTGTAATGGCTGAGTCCTGTTGGAGTGTCCAAGGTCTGCGGCCAAAATGTTTGCGTGCCCAAGGCTTTAATACACACTCCAGAATGTTTTAGCGATAATATTCTGCATTTATTCTGATGTCATGGTCGATTAATACGAGCGGAGAGCGACCATCGGCTGTTATGGCGGCTTACACCATCATCATGGCCGGCGCTTGAGTTCTGGTGGCCAACCGAAGATGCACACTTTCAGCTGTCACTATCATTTTGTTTATTTACAAACTGCTGCACAACAAATATTTTCTCATCGGAGAAAGCCAAATTCGACAGTTCACCACTTTCGGCCAAGCGGAAAAAATATTTAGCTCTTTTGAGTCTATTTTCTTTCTGTTGCGGTGTAAGTTCTTGTACTTTTTGAAATTTCAATGGCTTTACCCCGAGCTCATTCTTCAATATTTGCCGAATGGAATATTACGATATGTTCAGCTCACGAGCCATTTTTCGGCTTCTTTACTTTTCGAACCATTTCTGCTGATGTTGATATTTTCTTCCGTCCACATCCTTGAACTAGGGCTACGCTACCAGTATCACGGTAACGATTGATGGTACGAGATACAAAAGATTTATTCACATTTAAATGTTAGAGTGCTCTAACTTGTGGCTTTCCAGCCAAATATAAGTACATCACACCATCACGCTAGAATTCCATCACGAATAACTTTTTTCTGGAATATTCTCACCAAAATTTTTAACTTGTTATGTTTGCCGACACTCTTTTCCCCCGATAGTCATTCATTGGTACGATAAATTCAAGTTATTTCGGCTTATAGATATTTTTTGGATGACCTGTATTGCCATTACATGTGGCCTTCTGTAATGGAGAAAATAAGTTCATTGGATTTACCGTTGAAATAAACCATTATTTTGAACATACATATAGCGCAAATGCATTATCTTTTATTAAGTTATTCGGCTTATGTGCTCCTAATCATTTGTTACCAAATAAGTTTGTCATTCCTTGGTTACAACAAGGAATAACTACTTATGCGTTGAATATTTGTGGCCAAGTGATAACTACCTATTTCGAGTAGTTAGTAACCTGATGTGTAATGATTATTTTTGCTCTGATGTATTTATACCCTACAACACTATGTGTTGGGGGTATTATAAGTTTGGTTGGGCCAAAAATTGTGTAACACCTCGAAATATTGGTTTCCCACATAGGAAAGTATATACGGATCTTCCAATCTCGCCGAGCTGAGTCGAAAAGAATAAAATCTAAAAAAATCGCATAAAAAGATGCCGATAATGATGTTAATACAGATTTTGTAGTATTTTGTAACATTTATTTTATTTTTTCATATTTTTTTATCGCTGCGATTTTTCCAATTTGACTTACAATATTGAATTGTATATTTTGTTATATTTTTTACAACACAGGTTGGGGTTGTTATATACATGTTGCAATTATCGTCCGATCCTCACGAAAATTTTCACAAGGGTAGGGTTTGGCTCAAAAGAGCTAAGCCTATTGTTTTCAAAGATGTCCGCAATATATTTAAGGGTTGAAATGGACCGAAAACAGAAAAAATTTCTAGATCACACAATTGAAGCGAATCGACACGCCTGAGAAGAGAGTTAAGGACAGGGAAGAATTCTTGCATTTTGGATGACCATAGGATTATATTACGCTGTATACTGGACCACAACATCTAACATCACGACGGAGTGCATAAATACTGGGTATATATCCCTGTTCAAAATGCTAAGGGTAATATCTGGGCAGCGCTCTATGACAAAATTTCAAAAGCGAAATCTTCCAAAATGGATTTAGACATAAGGGGGCTTCTAACATATTGTAGTGTTGTAGGGTATCACATGGTCGGCCCCGCACGACTATAGCCTTTGCTTACTTGTTTTATACTCTTATTGTTTAGGCAAAAGTTTTGTTTTTTTTTTTTTTTTTTTTTTTTTGACGCTAATCTAATTCCATTGTCATTCACCTTTTCACAAATCAATGACTACATTTTTGTCCATTAATTATATGCTCTACGAAAGTTTCTAAAAACAATCTGCTGCCTGTGCCACAACATTGTTGGCCGATTATTTCATGTCTTCATCATTCCTTTCCATCCATCCAACTAATTGTACAATCATTGCCATTGTGAAAGTTTGGGCATAGTTAAGACCATTACGGCTTACCTTTTTGTCAACTAATTGACAATAATATGTAATAATGACAGGTTTTGTTTGAAACCAACTTACTGCTATTGTCAGTTTGGGATTAACTAAACAATTATTTGATAATAGAAAACAAAGCGTAGAAACAAAGGTTGAACGAAAAAGAAAAAACCTCCCACCACTTGTTTGTTTTGTTTTCTTTTTATGTACCCATAAATGCAAAGATTGAATAAAACTATGTTGATATGACAGGAGTTCACAACCAAATTTATTTAAAGCAACAATTGTTGATTGAATTCTTTTTATTTTGTTCTTTTTCTTATACAGCCTAAAGGAGAAAAAGGAGATCGTGGTACCGATGGTCGTGATGGCAAGCCTGGTCCACCAGGTTTACCCGCAGCATCTGGAGAAGGTGTACAATATGTTCCTATGCCAGGACCACCTGGTCCTCCCGGCCCTCCTGGACCACCCGGCCTGCCGGGACTTTCAATATCTGGACCAAAAGGTGAACCCGGCGTCGATTCTAGAAGTGGCTATTATGGTGATGCTTCATATTATGGTCGACCAGGTGAGTAATTGCAAATAATTTGCTATATACGAAATTGATTTATATAGTTGTAATGTTTTATTATATAATATATACTGGCAAGTAGTTTATTATGATGTACGGATACAGATCTCTTTAAAAAAAAACGTCATACGTACGATATTAATAGCTATAGACTTCCTAATGGACAAAATCTTCTTATATTTTTTTGGAAAATCTCAGTAAAATTTTCCAAACAAATTGGGTAAAAACCATTTGAAAACAAGTAAGCAAAGGCTACAGTCGAGCGGGGCCGACCGTTGAATACCCTACAACACTATAATAAACGATACTGTTTATATAGGCGAGATACTCGAAAGAATTCCACAAGATATTGTGACAAATTATAAAAGAAAACCATCAGGTTTTGTTCTCTAATTTTCGAATAATAGCAACTTAAACTAATTTGCTCATTTCCAATTTATTGGTAGATATTGCACTTAAATGGTCTTCCTAGATCTGGACCTATAATCTCTCAGAAGTGGCAAAAGATTAACATTTATTATTGGGTTTTGACTGAAACGCATCTATATGAGATACAGACATTTGACTATATTCTTCCACGAAATCAGCGTTAACGAAATAGTCAGAAGTGTGTCTTCCCTGTATTTGTGAATTCTACAAAGAGTCACTGGAATGGACATTTTCGTATTTTGTCTACAAAAGTTGGCAAACTATTTCACACATTGAATACTTTTGGATGGCCATCCAAAACTGCTTGGCTTTTGCAATGTCCGGTAACCCCCATTCAAATGTGCGTGAGGATCGGGCGATAATAACGACCTGCTGACAATTTTGCAGTTTTTTGGTCCATTTCAACCCTTAAATATATAACGATCATCTCCAAAAAGAGTAGGCATCTATTCTGACCCTCATCCATGCAAGGATCGGGCCATAAATGCGATCTGTATATGATATCCTGATATCCTAACTACTTAGTTTTGTTAGCTGTAGAAATATTACCAAATGTTTAATTCAAAATGAAAATATGGCAAAAAAATATGACAAAATTGAAAAAATATGAGAAAAGGTTACAAATTCAATATATTCTTCTTTAGAGAGATATTTTTATGCGATTTTTTTGACGTTTTTTCTTTCCTAACAAGAGGCCATTCTGAATTAATGAGAACTGTCGAAATCAGTTCAGCCGTTCTCGACATATAAGAGATCTTTCAAGCATATCTTCTTTGATAGACATATATATCGCACATATTTTGCTATATATCCGATTTGTTGGATGTTAACATCAATGTAAAGGTCAGAAGTAACCTTGTCATGGCTTCGTGATTTCGGCGGGATTTAAAATATTCGCGGTTTAATGAAAAATGTTGAATTTTTTCAACACAAATGATATGGTCTATTTTACCCGCTAAATATTATCCGATGACCACCCTAATTGGTAGGCTTCTTCCCCGCCCTAAACTCTAGCTACATGCGAAATTCCGCGTCGATTGGTCTATAATTGTGACCTGTATAGCTTCTGCAAAATCCGATATTTTTTCAGTATTTGGTCCATTTTAACCCCTTAACATTTGGCGATCATCTCCAAAAGAAATAGGCTTCTATTCTGACCCTAGCCCCACCGACGGACAGACGGACGGACGGACATACATAGCTAGATCGACTCAGCTCGGCGAGCTAGGAAGATCCATATATACTTTCCTATATGGGAAACCAATATTTCGAGGTGTTACATAAATTCTGGCCCAATCAAACTTATAATACCCCCAACACATAGTGTTGTAGGGTATAACAAGTAAAATTAAGGAAATAACTAGGGCTACCTTTTTCTTTTTTTTTTTTTTTCATTAACCTTTTTCTCTGTCAAGGTTAACGTATCCACATATTTTTGTAAGAACGTTTCATTTTCTATGTGAACCAGAAATATAAAATTTTCCTGATGTGAAGATCGGCTTTTGGATCTGGTTTTTTCAATTAAAGCCGGTGATGAAAGGTTATAAGTCGGGCGGGGCGGTCTATATGATACCCTACACAGCTACGCATATTTAGTACAGCTACTCCTAACACATAAACGTATGAATTGTGTAAGGTACATCGGACCAACTATGAAGCTTATTTGAATACATAAAATGACTTCGACAAGATGGGACCAGAGTTTCACCAAATGGAACATTTCTATTGAATGTGCAAAAATCCATCCAATTTGGACTGATATTACATATTTGTTCATAATAACGGTGAAATCGGATGAGGTTATGGAATGGAAGCTATATTCTAATCTGAACCGATCTTCATAAAATTTGCAAAGGTATTTCTTAGTTGGTATCTGTTACCTAATATCATAGTCGTAGAGTACATATTACTGTTATATGGGAGCTATAGCCATATCTAAGTCGATTTTCAAATACATAGTACTTGCTTCTAGGCTGAATTCTGACGTATGTGCCAAAATCCATTCGATTTGGGCTGATATTAAACATGTGGGGCACAAAACCTGAAATCGGATAAAGTTATATATGGGAACTATATGCAAATCTGAGAGGATCTCTATAAAATTGTGCCCAAGCATTTCTGAGATATTTGAGATATCTGGTACTTCATCTTCAAATTTAGACTCATCTATATGATTTGCTTGTCTACGATATTTGGCTATATTCGTCAACGAAATCAGCATCAAAAAGCCAGAAGTTCGCCTTGTCCTTGTAGTGGTCCATTCCACCCGATGTCCTAAACTCTAATTTAATGAGAGATTTCGTGTCCTTAGATTTCTATTCGTGACCTTTTTAACGGCTGAAAAATCAGGAACATTTTTATTTGTTGGTCCATTTCAACCCCTAAATATATTGCTGATATCTTTGAAAACTATAGGCCTACCCCTTCTGCGTCTAAAAATGTGAACATTTTCGTGAGGATCGGACGATAATTGCAATCTGCATATAATAACTCCAACCTGTGTTGTAAGATGAAAAAATATTGCAAAATAGACACTTCAATATTAAAAATCAAATTGAAAAAATAGCATGCGATAAAAAATATGAAAAAATAAAAAAATGTCACAACATGCTACAAAATCTATATTAACACCATTATTGGTATCTTTTTATGCGAATTTCTTAAATTTTATTCTTTTAGGCCAGGAGGGCATTCTGAATTGACAAAATTTGTCAAAATCTGTCCAGCCATTCTTGAGATATAAGCATTCTAGATAACATCCCCTTCCTTTGTAGATACACATTGTATATATTTCGCTATATATATCCTATATATTTATTATTGGCATCTACGTAACGGTCAGAATTTACCTGTTCGTCTATTTGTGATTTCGACGGAATTACAAATATTCGCGGTTTAAGGAAAAATTTTTCTTTTAAACAAATAGTATGGACTATTTCACTCACTAAGTATAACCCGTTGACCATCAAAATTGGAAGGCTTCTGCCTAGCCCAAATCTCTAGCCCCGTGCTAAATTCCGCTTTGATTGGTCTATAATTGCGATCTGTAGAGCAACTGCAAAATCATTCAATTTTTCAGTCTTTGGTCCATTTCACCCCCTAAATATTATGCGTTCATCTCCGAAAGAAATAGGGTTCTATTCTGGACCCAGTCCCACCTACATTTTCAATTTCATGAGAATCCGGCCATAATTGCGACCTGTAGAGTGATTACAAATTAACATGGACAGACGGACGGACATACATAGCTAGATCGACTCAGTTCGGCGAGATAGGAAGATCTATATATACTTTCCTATGTGGGAAGCCAATGTTTCGAGGTGTTACATAATTTTTGGCCCAATCAAACTTATAATACCCCCAACACATAGTGTTGTAGGGTATAAAAATTGAATGATCATCATATATGGGAGCTATAGCTATATCTTAACCGGAACCCAAATTTTATATACTTACTTCCAAGCTCAATTCGGAGGCATGTGCCAAATTCCATTCATATTACACATTTGGTGCACAATAAAAGAAGAATTGGAATTATATGAGAGCTATATCCAAATCTAATCCGATTATCTCCAATTTTCAATAGGGTTTACGTTATTCGATGCACATCATCAGAAGGAACTATTGGTCTACAAAAATTCTTATTCTTCTTGTTACAATCAGATGTACAAAGACATAGTACCCAGACCACAGTGTAGTGTAGTGTATAAAAGGTAACCAGTTGTCATATACGACTTGGATACGCTAAACTTATCTTCTTTCAAGGCAGTTATACTCATGTAGCCTTTAAAACCTTGGGGAGATTCATTCTCCACATTTTTTACTTTTCAACGACTTGCCAGTGTTAGGAATTTCTATCATTAAACATAAGCTATAACTTAACGCTAAGTAATTAAATATATTTCAATTCATTCATTTTTTTATTTCATTTAACTCGTAATAATGCCAGAACCTACTGCTTTTTCTTATTTCCCCCAAACATTTGTTACACAAAACTTGAACCCAATCCAATAAAAAACTGCACCAACAACACACTGTCCCAAAAAAATACTTTAAAATATTCACGTTCACTGCCAAACATTTTTTACACTTTAGACGAACTTAAAGCTCTGCGTGAACTGCAAGATTTAAGAGATCGCCCGGATAAAAGTTCGGGTAAAGAAATTCATTACATTTTTTTTCACATTTTCATGAATTAGATGTTCTTACCATGTCAAATTATTGCGCACAATGTTCTTCTTCTTTAATTTGCTGTAGCTTAATATTTTTTTTTTTTTTTTGTATTCACTTGTTACAAGTTTTCGCTATAGTGTTTGATTTCTATCAATACAAATCTATTATCCTTTTTATTTTGTTTTTTTTCGTAAATATCTTTTGATAGCTGCTACCCTCAATTGAATTCATTTTGTTGGTAGAATTTGTCTTGCACATTGGACCATAAACAGAAAATAATTTTAAAATCGTTTTGGAAATTGTTTTTATAAAATAAAATCCAAGTTTAAATGAGTTACGATATACATTTGTGAATGTAAGCATATTCATGGGGAGTGGAAAGAATCTAAAAAATT